ATTGACACTTTCTACTCGTCGATTTATTTAATTTGTCAACGTCAGTTAAGCGGAGCTTGAAGTGTCGGCTGGCTCGATGCGGGGAATCTTCAATCAAAATATGACGAAAGTGAAGCGCGACGCGGCCCCGTTTTAACCGTAATTAATTTCGGCACAGATTCGTATCACCGCTGATAATTCCGATCCGATTATCGGACCACCCCCACGCGATTCTCGCAGATACGCGTTTCACGCCCACGAAATATAATTACTGGAGCGTGTTCGTGAAAACGAACGGGTTTTCTTTTCTTTCACGAAGACGATAATAACACTGTGAAACAAATATTGACCTATGTTAGTTTTTGCAATAGCCACTATGTAATTCTTATAGAGTTCCTTACCCTAAATACGAATCCGGAAACCAAATTGCTGGGTCAGGTCCAGTTTTCGAGAAAACTGGCATTTTGTAAAAACGGTCGAATTTTTCAGAAAACCAAGTGTTACGTGAAAACTAAAAACGATAGGCAGTTAAAATTTGTCGCAAAAAATAAAGGAGACTTGCCTGATCACGTAGCTATAAAAATTTTGAATTTTGAGTATCATTAAATGTTTGTAAACGGTGATCAAAGTTTAAAAAAAGGTAGATGAGCGTACTTTGTATGCACTTCTGTTACATTTCTACGAAAAGTGGGTTGGCCAGCACGAATTTGCTGTGCACCATTGGATTCTGCAGACATTTCTGAAGAGGAACCCCCCTGCGGGAAGCGTGACATCGGGTTTTCTTTGGGACAGGGTAAGAAAATGTCCGCGAACGGAACTTTCGCGCCACACGGCCATCGCTCGCCGACCACAGCTATGCAGGGCCGTGACTACGTGCTGTATAGACCTGGACCCCGGTCACTTCTTATATGTATATATAATGTTTAATTGTTTTATAAATTTTCATCATAGTTATGAGAAAACTTTTCACGGTCGTACCGTTTTAAATAATTTGATGTTTAATATGTGAATACACATATACGAGTAATATTATTACGATGATTAACACTGAAACTATCGAATCAGACAAGATGGTCGGTATAAATTTCATTCTCTGTCGATTATTAATATTTTGAAAGTATTAGATATATGAAATGTTTTGAAAAACTAATCAAGTTTACTGGAACTATAACGAATATTCGAGTATACTCAGTAGTATTAGTGTTAATTTAAAAATACTTCCAGTAAACTTCCAGCAAATATTGGGTTGTATGCGTGAAAAGAAGTGTAAGCCTTTACGAGGGATTTTGAGAGTAAATACATGGTTCTACATATGTAAAGAATGAAGTATTTACTAGAAACTGAATTTTTTGGTAAATAGTTATAACTGGTATGGATATCAGTTTTAGGCTTAATTTCTTTGGCTTAATTTCTGCCTTTTGCAGTCTTTATTTGAAATTTTCTATCGTTTACTATTTAATACTAGT